CTCTCTATGCAATTAACCAGGATACTGGTTAGAGATTGTTCGCCTAACAATTATACAATTATTCTCTTTAAAAACTAGCAAATATTAACTCAGTTCTTTAAGAATTTATAACATGGATATAGATATTCTTGTTGTAGCTAAGAAAAGAATTTAAATCCTAGATTTCTTCTCATAGAAAAAAGAACAAAAACAACTTCCATCCCAAGAATTGCATTGTCTTCTTAATATTGATATAGTTTCCAATAGAAATAGTTTTTGACTGCCAATTCATTTCGAGGCCAAACATTGTTGGAAACAAAGAAGAACACACCTTCCGTTGATTTAAGCCTTCCTGTGCATTTGCCAAAAAAGAAAAAAGAACTGTCATCAGCCAACACAGGTATGCCATTTATGATCACATCAGCCCACCAGTATCAGATTCATAGCTCTTTAGAGAAGACAAAAGAAAGTCTCCATCAGAAGAATGACGAAGAAGTGGGAAAGGGGATCTCCCTATCTGAGCCCCTTCGGAAAAGGAAAGAAATCTGATGGTCTGCCATTTACAACAAATACAACAAACGAGATGAAGAAATGCATCTACTTGCAGAATTTAGTCCCAAAGCCCATTCTATGTAATGAGAGTAAAAAACAGTATGAAGCATTGTCATAGACTTGTCTAATATCCAGAATTCCATCCTCCCTTCTCTTCTGGAGATCATCCACTAGCTCATACAATGAGGTGGTATTGACAATCTGCTTGCTCTCAACAGAAGCCCATTAATGCTTCTCCAACTATAAGGCTCGGAATCTAGCTCAATCCTTTATCTAGAACCTTAAAAGTCAACCCCCAGATACTACCACAAAATCAATGGGCCTAAGATCAATTTACACCACTTTCAGTCTTGGAGATGAGAACTAGAAAAGCTAAATTCAAACCACAATTGCCAGAAGGAGGCACCAAGAACTATCCACTCACCTAGTAGCGTCCTTCTCTTCCCATTGTTCCACTTCATAAGCAACCCTTCTGTTTCTACTCGAAGGGAGTGAAAAAAAGTGTGATTGGATCCTCTAAAACATCTATGCTAGGTGTGTTGCTCTATGCGGACAGCACCCTAGAGAACTATTTTATTTCCTAATTGAAGTAGACTACAAATCGGTTACAGTGACGTGCAACATATCTCGCATCTTCTTCTCTGAGAGATGTCGGACGATTTCCTCGATCACCAGGAATTTTTGTAGAGTAACCATGTGCATGATGCTCCAGCCATCTAGAGCTTGCCCAAGCAGACAAACGTGTAGGATGGTTGCCAGTGAAGAAAATTTATTGATCTGAGAGAGGAATGTCTCTCCCTAGGACTCACTTTCTCTAAAATCTGGCTACTGCATTCTAGTGACAATCCATTGCAGAATCATGCTTCCCATTTTACTCGACAACTATATGAGATAATCAACTTCTTGAACCCTAAACTGCTACATTCACAATCCTAGTTTTTTGTCTGCAATTAATGATCTATTCTCAAACAGTCTACATTTTACATTTATATTGTAGATAAATTTTTAGCAAGAATGAGTGATTTCAGCTGAATATCTATTATTCAGTCACTTTGAAAGTTTACCTCAA